CGTCAGCGCCTGTCCTGCCCGTGTGTGTCTGTGTGTGTCTGTGTGCCCTGTCACCCCCTTACTGCTGGGCCTGCCCGTGTTTGTGTGTGTGTGTGTGTGTGTCAGCGCCAGGCCTGCCCGTGTTTGTGTGTGTGTCTGTGTTCCCTGTCACCCCCTTAGTGCTGGGCCTGCCCGTGTTTGTGTCTGTGTGTGTCTGTGTCTGTGTTCCCTGTCACCCCCTTAGTGCTGGGCCTGCTCGTGTTTGTGTCTGTGTTCCCTGTCACTCCCTTAGTGCTGGGCCTGCCCGTGTTTGTGTGTGTCCCTTGTCCCCCCTCAGCACCAGGCCTGCCCGTGTGTTTGTGTGTCTGTGTGTGTCCCCTCAGTCGCCCTCTCAGTGCCGGGCCTACTCTTGTGTGTGTGTGTCCCTTGTCCCCTCCCTCAGTGCTGGGCCTGCTCGTGTGTGTCCCTTGTCCCCCCCTCAGTGCTGGACCTACCCTTGTGTGTGTGTGTCTCTGTGTTCCCTGTCCCCTCCTCAGTGCCGGGCCTGCTCGTGTGTATGTCTGTGTCCCCTCAATGCTGGGCCTGTGTGTGTGTGTCCCCTCGGTCCCCCTTCAGTCTCCCTTCAGCGCCGGGCCTGCTCGTGTGTGTGGATGTGTCTCTGTGTCCCTTGTCCCCCCACCTCAGTGCTAGGCCTGCCCGTGTGTCTGTGTGCTCCCTCTCTCCCCAAACTCAGCACCCCAGGCCTGGCCGTGTGTCTGTCCCCCCCAAACTCATTGCCAGGCCTGCCCATGTGTCCCCGTCGTCTCGTCCCCTCCCCCCCCAAAAAAAACCCTGCCCCGGGCCTGCCCACGTGCCCCCCCGAAGCTGAGGGCCGGGCCTGCCGACCCTGCCCCACCCCCCGGTTCGGGGCTGCCGTGGAATCACCCTCTTTCTCCCTTCCCCGCTGCAGAAGGGACTTCTACAAGATCCTGGGGGTGTCCCGCGGCGCCTCCATCAAGGACATCAAGAAGGCTTATCGGAAACTGGCACTGCAGCTGCATCCCGACAGGAATCCCGACGACCCCCGGGCACAGGAGAAATTCCAGGACCTGGGGGCTGCCTACGAGGTGAGGCTGGGGGCGTGGGGGCTCCTCCCACCCCCCTCCGGGGCGGTGTTGAGTGAGGCAGGGGGTGGGCAGGGCTGGTGGGGCTGCTGGGGAAGAAGAAAAGGGGAAACTCTGCAGCCTGTTGGAAGGAGCTCTGGGAACCTTCAGGCCTTCCCAGACTGTGGAACATGGGAAGTTCATGCTGGGACTGTGAGTCTGAGCTTGGCTAACAAGATGTCTCATGAGGTTTTTACCTTATAATCTTGAAAGGAAGGAGAAAGGAGGGCTTCTAGGAAGGGTCAAGGCTCTGCTAGGAGGTACAGGTGCAATCACTCTGTCCAATTTCAGACATTCCACCAAATAAAAAGCAAAGGCAAGAGGTTAGATTAAAGATTCTGATTAGAGAGCTCCTTCTGCAAGGTGACAACCAGAGGCCTCAGGTCACTTAGGCAGGAGAAAGTGAAGGTAGCAAGGTAAAATGATTTGGTATGTATGACTAGCTCTCTGAGAAAAAGAGAGGGTTGGATCAGGTGTAGGTGTTGGGAGGTGTGTGTAGGGCCTGGGAGAAAGAGCCTGAGGTGAAAGGGGGTTGTCCCAAAATAACTGCCACCAAGCTTACCCTGGGGTAGGATTTCAGGTGGGAAAAGTAAGTGTGTAGTCACCTGTGCATGAGGATTTCTGGTGTTTCTGTGATCCTATAGGAGCACACAGGTGATACCTGGTACTGACAGCACAGTGTCATGGAATGGTTTGGGTTGGAAGGGGCCTGAAAGATTGGGGGTGTTCAGCCTGGAGAAGAGAAGGCTCCAGGGAGACCTTAGAGCAGCTTCCAGGGCCTGAAGGGGCTCCAGGAAAGCTGGGGAGGGACTTGGGACAAGGGCAGGGAGGGAGAGGACAAGGGGGAAGGGATGAAAACTGGCAGAGGGGAGATTGAGGTGAGACATGAGGAGGGAATTGTGGAGTGTGAGGGTGGTGAGAGCCTGGCCCAGGTTGCCCAGGGAAGCTGTGGCTGCCCCATCCCTGGCAGTGTTGAAGGGCAGGTTGGATGGGGCTTGGAGCAGCCTGGGCTGGTGGGAGGTGTCCCTGCCCATGCAGGGGGTTGGAACTGGATGGTCTTTGAGTTCCCTTCCAACCCAAACCATTCCATGAATTTATTTTGATTGTTGATTACAGTTTCAGCCTGGGTTTCATCACACAGGGAGCTTCTCCCCCTGTTCCTGCTCCTCTGCAGCCTCCTGGCAGCTCCCCTGGCAATTTTAACCTTCCAAAACAGAATCAAGAAGGCAGGCAGGAAGACTAAATTTAAAACTGGAAACTTCTGGATCTCTGGGGGTGGAAAGAGCAAGGATCAATACTTAGGAATTCAAATGGAAGCTTTCCAATCTTGAAAGCCATGTGTGTTGGGCATTGTTATTCTGCCCCAGCTCTGAAGGGGTCCTGCTCCCACCTCCTGCCCTTGGGAAGGAGGACCAGTGCCTAAGCTGCTGAGGAGCTGCCACGGTTGCCAGGTCCAGCTTTGTGGGGAAACTTGTCATGGTTGCTAATTGTTCTGAAACCAGAAGTTGACAACTATCTTCTGTGTGCTTGAAGCTGAGGAACAGGGGTGGGGTTAGGTGAGGTATCAGTGTGTCCTGCTTCATGGGAACTGGTTGGGATTATGCCTTCTGGTTCTGGTTTTAAACCTGAAGAGAAACTGAGTATTATTTATTTCCTCTGTGTTCCTTCTGCTGCTTTAATAAACTAACTGGAATTTAAAGACCTTAACTGATAAACGTTTAACTTCCTGAGTCCTGTGCAGCAAGCAAGTCCCAACCAGTGGTTCCATCACGTGAAGCAGTGTTGGTTGTCCCCCAGGGAAGAGGTTCCTCTCAGAGCTGTGTGTCCATGGCCCAGCTGAGCTGAACCTCTGGTGTGTCTGTGGCAGGTGCTGTCGGACGAGGAGAAGCGGAAGCAGTACGATGCCTATGGTGAGGAGGGCTTGAAGGATGGGCACCAGAGCTCCCATGGAGACATCTTCTCCCAGTAAGGATGTTTTGCTGCTTTAGGCTATTCTGCAGCTGGGATTTACATTTGGTGGGGTTCCTGCATACAGTTGGTGTGGCGAGATGCTGGGTGAAGGGCTTTGGGCCAGGTGCGTGTCTGGGGCTGCAGTTGGGGGTTTGAAGAAGCACCTTCACAGTGAAGAACCCACCTGCAGGTCTCAGTGGTGTGTCTTGGGCCTTTCTTCAAGACCAGGGAGTGGAAACCAGAGGTGTCTTCCAACAGGAACAGCTCTTGGCCACTGTGGGTATTTCTGTGATTCCCATTCATAAGCTGATCCAGCAATTGGCTTCATCCTGGCTCAAACCAGGACACTCAGGTGCTGCAGCTTCATTAACACATAAGAACTCTCTCCTGTCCTCTGACAAGTGATTCATGATCAACCTGTCAGATCATGTGGGCACTTTGGGGGTCACTTTTTCTTTAGCAGAGTGAAGCTGTGGGGCCTTAGGCTGCATTTCAGAGCACTAGGACATTTTAGATCATTCAAAACCTGAGAGCATTTGCATGTTGGTCAGGCAGAACCTGATCTTCTGTTTGTTTATGGCCCCTTTGGTTCTGGCTAGGCACCATTGACTGAAATAATTCCTCAAGTGTGATCCTGCTGGGGGAGAACTTGCAGAGTCTGCTGGTCTGGTTGAGGAAAAATAGGCAGGACTTGGAACATCTGCCCTGTGAGGAAAGGCTGGGAGAGCTGGGGCTGCTCAGCTGAAAGAAAAGGAGGGTGAGGGGGTACCTGATCAGTGCTGATCAGTATCTGCAGGGGGTGGCAGGAGGATGGGCCAGACTCTGCTCAGGGGTGTCCAGGGACAGGACAAGGGGCAATGGGCACAAACTGGAGCTCAGGAGGGTCAAGTTCAACATGAGGAAAAGCTTCTTGCCTGTGAGGGTGACAGAGCCCTGGGACAGGCTGCCCAGGGAGGCTGTGGAGTCTCCATCCCTGCAGACATTCCAGCCCCACCTGGATGTGTTCCTGTGGGATCTGCTGTAGGGGATCCTGCTCTGGCAGGGGGTTGGACTGGGTGATCTCCAGAGGTCCCTTCCAACCTGGTGACTGTGGAACCCAACGTGTAGCATTGCCTGGCTGTGCCAGAGAGGAAGCACCACTCACACTTTGCACCTTGTGGTGATGGTCCTGAGCAGGGGTGCAGTCCAGAGAGGACTTCCCT